TGAGGTTCTATGAGCTGAGATCTTTGTCTTTTTTGTTTACTACTGTGTCCCTAGACCAGGAACAATGCCTGATGCAGAGTAGTTGTAGAATAAGTGCTTGTTGAATAAACAAATGAATGAATAATAAATTACATTGTAGATAGACTTTACTAAATTTGAGTGAGATTAAGGCACTTAAAATAGACACATCTCAGTCAACTAGCAAAATGATAGCTTTTAACTTCTGACTCTGCAGTGGGAGAAGGGGACTGCTTAAGTTGGAGGGGAGGCAGGGAAGAATTATGATACTCATACAATGAAAGACTTCAAAGGAACCAGGGAAACTTCCCAGTTAACACTCTACCTGGGAGTGATTCTGTCTCTGCCCAAACTAGAAAATTCTGTAAAAATGTGACCAACTATTTTTCTCCTCAGATATTTTTACAGAGGGCCCTAATATTAGAGAGAAGTAATTTATCTGGAACTTCAATAATATATGAAACGGAAATTTGGAGGAAAAAGTGCTGAAACCACAGAAATACGGGAGGTGAGATTGAGATTTGTCTACTTTGGAGACAACTTTGAGAGGGGAGGTGGACCGAGTACCCTCTAAAACAGGGGTCCTCAACCCCTGAGCCATGGACCGGTTCTGGTCTGTGGCATGTTAGAACGGGGCCACACCGCAGGAGGTGAGCAACAGGCAAGTGAGTGAATGAAGCTTCATCTGCATTTACAGCCACTCCCCATTGCTCACATTACCACCTGAGCTCTGCCTCCTGTCAGATCAGTGGCAGCATTAGATTTTCATAGGAGTGTGAACCCTATTGTGAACTATGCTTTCAAGGGATCTAGGTTGCATGCTTCTTGCAAGAATTTAAGGCCGGATGATCTGTCACTGTCTCCCATCACCCCCAGATGGGACCATTTTGTTGCAGAAAAACAAGATCAGGGCTCTCATTAATTCTACATTGTAGTGAGTTGTTTAATTATTTCATTATATATTGCAATGTAGTAATTAGAAATAAAGTGCACATTACTGTAATGCACTTGAATCATGCTGAAACCATCCCTCCAGCCCCTGTTTGTGGAAAAATTTTCTTCCATGAAACCAGTCTTTGAAGCCAAAAAGGTTGGGGACCGCTGCTCTACAAAGAACACATCCACCTTGAATTAGGAATTTGACCAAGTCACAAGATCACTGAGAACTAATAGCAGAACCACGGCTAGAGGAAAGACATTCTTAAGGCTGAGAATTTCATCAGTGGCTGGACATGTATTTACCTTTAGTATACTCCTTAATACGCTTCACAGAGTATTCCAGTATTCTCACCTTTCTTGCTCAGCTCAAAACAGCACTTCCGTTATTATCAGAGAGTTGCACTTGAACTGGGTATATAGTTGCTATTCTGGTATTCACACTTAGGAAAGAATGAAACAATCACTTTTTTACAGAATGGCAACCAAATGAGATTTATTTGGAAGGTCTGCCTCCTTTTCATAAGAATAGATCACAATGGCTTAGAATATTCAGAGAAGACACAAGAAAAAGTTGGGACAAGAATTGGGACACAAGGTATTTATTGCCAAATGCTAAGCTTAATTGATAGCTAGCTATGTACCAGGCCTTGTGGCCATGGCCTGTATGTGATCTTATTATTTATTTATTTATTTATTTATTTATTTATTTATTTATTGAGACACAGTCTTGGTCTGTCACCCACAGCTCACTGCAGTTTCTACCTCCCAGGCTCAAGTGATCCTCTCACCCAAGCCCCACCAAGTAGCTGGGACTACAGAAGAGTGCCATCACACCCAACTAATTTTTTAACTTTCTATAAAGACATGGTCTCTCTGTGTTCCCCAGGCTGGTCTCAAACCCCTGAGCTCAAGCAATCCTCTTGCCTTAGCTTCCCGAAGTGCTGAGATTTCAGGTGTGAGCCACTGCACCCAGCCTCATTTAATGCACCTAAACAATCTCATTTAATGCACATGACAACCTTAGGACACTGTAGGGAATTGTCATGAGTAACAGTATGAAGGGAGAGATACTTGCAATGAGTCTGGCAAACAGTGGTTAGCTCTAGTTAGCCCAGAGAATCTGTTTCTCAAAGTAAAAGGGATTATGTTTGTAGAGGAAAATGGATTTGCCATGGTAACAGACACTGTCTGTAACTCATAGCCCTCTGCTGCCTTGAAAATTATTTTGGTCTCTATTTTACTAATATTCTCAGGGTCTCTTACAATATAATACTGATTTCCAGAACTATTGTTCTTGAATAAGGGCATGACAAACTGCTCCTGGGTTTCAGCAGTAGAGAAAGGGAAACTGCCAAAAGAAACCTAGGTGAGGGAGCATTGTCTCTTTGAAGGTAGGAGATTAATTGATGAGCTATGATTTTTTTGGTCATAATTTTCAAATCGGTCAATGCAATCAAAATTACACAACATGGTCTGATATGGTTAGGCTTTGTGTCCCCACTCAACTCTCATGTCGAATTGTAATCCCCAGGTATTGAGGGAAATACGTGGTGGGAAGTGATTGGATGATGGAGGTGGTTTTCCCCATCCTGTTCTCATGATAGTGAGTGAGTTCTCATGAGATCTGATGATTTTATAAGGGGCTCTTCCCCCTTGGCTTACTACACATGCTTTCTCACCTGCCGCCATGTAAGACATGCCTGTTTCCCCTTCTGCCATGATTGTAAGTTTCCTGAGGCCTCCCCACCCATGTGGAGCTGTGAGTCAATTAAACCTCTTTTCTTAATAAATTACCCAGTGTAAGAATGGCTAATGCATGGTCCAATTACTTGTGTGCATTTGACCATTTTATGAGAAACAAAATCTGAAGACCACGTAGCTCACTTTTTGGAATAGCTCTTTAGAAAATCCATGTAATTTTTTTTCTTATAGCTAAAATAATTATATGCTTAGCCTATTTCTTTCAATGTTTTCATACATTTACTAACCATGAGCCATAACAGGCAAAGCTTACTTCCACCTATCCTTTCAGCATCTTTACTTCTCTTCATCTACACCAATCAGATCTGAAAAACTTAACGGGTTTACCCTCTGCTCTCCCCTGACAAAGAAACCCTTGACTTCAATCAACAGTCAAGTTTGTTAAGCGTTGATGGAATAAGATTATTGGTAACAGAAAGGCAACTCCTTACAGCTGGCTTTTCTTTTTCTTCCCCTCCTCCTTCCCACCACCACCCCCTATTCTCCCTTATTGCTTTGCACCGTACTCTGCACATAGAAGGTACCTAACATATGCTTTTTATTGAGTATTTAGTAACATTTGTGAGGTATGTTGCTGCTATTGTTGCTGTCGATAGAGGGGAAAAAGAGTGTTTTTACAGTAACTAGTGATATTCCAGAGTTCACGGATAAATTTTCCTGTTGATATATTTCTAAATTAATGTGTGACACTTCACTGGATATCACTTTGAACACAGCTATAACTTCTGAAGAAAATAAATCACTGAATCAGACAGTGTTTATTAGCCAATGTGCTGTTATTTCCTAAAGCACTACTTCTACTTGTGATAAAATTGGCAGCCAGGGGAGATAAATAGAGTGTTTGAAAGTGTTATATCCAAGGGTCCTAGATGAATTGCGAAAATACAGTGTGTATTACATGAAAATTTTGTTCTTTAATGTTTCCTTATTTCTTTAGAAAAATACTATTTTAAAAATATTATTTATTATCTCTATAACTCTGTTTAATTAAAGCATTTCACGATTATGATATTAAGAGGAAAATCAGCATTCATTCATTTATTTTCCTTCCTCCTTTCAACAGCTAGCTCCTGGTGTTTGCAAATTATAAAATGGTTTCTTATCTGTTTTCCATTTTACGTCCTATGATAATTATGCAACTAGTAACACTGCCTTCTCCCCAGTCGTGGATAGTGTGCATCTCAGTTTTATGATTGCTTTTTGTTACAGCTTGGGGAAAGATAAAAAGGCCTGTCAAATCTCAAGAGATTGCCGGCTAATGAATCACAAATAGCTCTGCAGCAGGCTGGAAGCATGCTGTCCTCTGTGAACCATGCAGGGTTCTCTTTTGCATTCCCTTCCACTTGCCCCGGTGGTGGACCTGTTGGAGGACCTGGTGATTTGTAGGCTTTGTCATGGATGTTGGATTTGGGAGCTCAGTTAGCAAATATCTCAGCTAACAACAATAGGGAGCTAATGGGAGGTTTGCTTGGTGGCCTGTGCCTCTGTGGCAAAGCCACACCTCCACGTGTCCTGCGGGCTCGCTTCTTCACCCCTGTCCAGAAGCCAAGATCTCAGTTCATCTACACATGCCCTGGCAGTGCCTCAGTCCTGTGTCTGAGACTCTTACAGACATCCCATATTTCAGTCAAATATTCTCCTCTTTTTTTCTTCTCCCTGCCCCACAGATCTACCAGGCACAAAGAACAAATCTTCTGTAATGAGTAAGCTTAGACTGGTGTGGGTGAGGGTCCCTGGTAAGTTCCTTCATGGAGCTAGCAGGGGTCACAAAGCGGACCATTTGCTCCTCCAGTGTAGCTCAAAGTTAACTAACCAGTGGCCCTTGAAAAGAAAAATGGGTCAAAACATAAAAAAATACAAACAAAATGTCCTCATTAAAAAAAAAAAAATCATCTTCATCAAAAAATACAAAATGCTGTGATGGTTATTCCACATTTTCAAAAGGAGATGTGACCTTTGTACTTTCTGAGATAACCGGCTGATGACGTTTCTGGAAGCCTCTGCCATCTCATCTCCCGTTCCCCACATCACTAGCCTTCCAGATAAAATTTGTTCTTGCAACATCTCTGGTCTTTTGAAATGTGCAGACTCCTGTCTGGATTTCAGGTCAAATTTAGACTTTTTTTTTTTTTTTTTTTAATTATTTTACTTTAAGTTCCGGGATACATGTGCAGAATGTGCAGGTTTGTTACATAGGTAAACATGTGCCATGGTGGTTTGCTGAACCTATCAACCCTCTTTTTTTTTTTTTTTTAATATTACCATAAATACCGTTTGTTGCTATCTTTCATCTGGAACAAGCCGGCTGAGCAAGGTGGATCTTCTCGTATTGTCTTCAGGACAGGCGAGTGCAATGCATTTCCTGGCCACCAGCCCTCATGGGCTCGCGTTGGGTGCTGGTGGCACACTCACACATCCCCGTAGCTGGGACTGAGATTTCTCCTTTCATACATTATTCACAGCTTGCAGCAATGAGTGCTTCCGCAGTCTTTTAACCTTATCCAAATGTAACCTCGCATTCACAATTATACATAACTTGGAAGAAGCATGCTGTACCATAAAAAGTTGCCTTCTGGGGAATTTGTTGTTGTTGGGCTTGAGCTTAAACTAAAATGGCTTAGACGGAAAATTGGTGAACAACAACATTTCTCCACTTTCTTTTGCATAACAGCTGGGAGGAATCGGTTCATGCTACAAGCCCGGGGTGTGCCGGCCAGCTGGCAGGAGTGCTCCAGAGCCAGGGTGCCAGATCCCAAACAGCTGCATCACTGCTCATCCATCTGTAGCACACACCATATGCCAAACCCCAAAGTAAGTGGGGAGGGGATCCCTTTAAAAAGAGATTTTCAAAGCCACAGAGAAAAAGCATTTTCTCCTGTAACGCACAGGCTTTGATCTCATATTCTTCCTCTTCTCTCACCCTCATCCAGCCTGGATGCCCACATGATTTAGAATTGGTGCAAAATAGTAAGGGAGCAGTATTCTTGATCGACTTCAGGAAACCGTTTCTCAGGTAACTTGTAAAGAAACCTACCACCTGCATCTATTTTTTACAAAAAGAACCATGTAATAATTTAATTTGGAAAAACCTTTCATGAAGTTTGCAAATCATTTGTTATGTCTTAGATTTCATCATGTAGCCACATTTTGAACTTTGAAAAGCACAGAATGAATACCTTTGGGAAATATTCCAAGATTTTCTTCATCTTAGTAATTTTAGAAGTTAATAAGCCACAGTTAAGGAACACCATATCCCAAAAAGACCCTCTAGTCTTATGCTTTCCTTTCCAAGGTCATTGAAGATCATGAGAATTGAACTTGTGAAACAGTCTGACCAGATATCCCATTTTATAAAGAGATACTCATTTACGTAAATGTGAATTCTAGAATGAGGATTGTTTAGGATAGTCAATCACTTACAGAAATTACTTCCTGCTGAAAATGAGAAGAAAATATTTTCCCACTCTTCTGTGAACATCTCAAAATACAGATGGCAAGGCTCCAGTGGCCATGGGAAGATGGAATGGCACTCTGTGGTCACTCAGAGATGGCAGCGCTGACCTCTGATGCAGATTCCAGGCCATGTTTGGAGCTGGGGTGAGTCCTTTGTGAAAACACATTGCCATTCTGTTGACTTTACTTGGCATGGCTCTCATTGTCATTCTGGTAATGGTAACGGGAATACAATATCTTCATTGTACTTTTTTTTCCTCTGTATCTACCTTTGACCTTGATTTCTAAGTTTCTTCCATTATTTTGAATACAAGTATTTTGTGTTTACAAACTACTTCACAGTTTATAATTCCTACTTATAAAATATTTTATTGAAAGACACACTCAGTGCAGGAAACCATGTCATTTGGAAAGTGGTACATATGGGAATGGACCTGACCAGGCCAGCACTATTTGGTAACATATTTCTATATTATCCTAAATAAAAGCCAAGGAGCCACGTGGCATAGTCTTTGCATGGAGTGGAGTTCAGAAAAGGAGCTCAGCTGCCAAGCAGTAGATAAAAAGGGATTTCATTTTTCAGAGAACATTGAAGAGAAGCCATTTTCTAATTTTCAGTAACACTTCTTAAGAGCTCCCTTTCTCCACTATCCAACTGTTTAGTCATTCTCCATATTCTAAATCACAAACAATTCAGAGGCTGAAACAGGCTAGCAAAATCACAGATGCAATACATGTGTGCTTATATGAATATGTATGCTAGGTATGATACACATGCAGATATAACGTGTAATATATTCATATATACATATATATCACATACACACAAATACAAATGACTACATAATACATGCGTATATATATACACACACACACGCATATATGTGTTTCAGTTTAAGCATAGATATTCATATAAAAACTACTGAGGCTGGGAACAGGGGCTCACACCTGTAATCCCAATATTTTGGGGGGCCCAGGAGGGAGGATTACTTGAGACCACTTCGAGACAAGCTGGGACAATAGTGAGACTCTGTCTCTAAAAAAACACAAAAATTAGCCAGACACGGTTGTAGTGCGTGCCTGTAGTCTTAGCTACTCAGGAGGCTGAGGTGGGAAGATCATGTGAACCCAGGAGTTTGAGGCGCAGTGTGCTTTATTTGTACCATGGCACTCCAGCCTGGGAGACAGAGCAAGACACTGTCTCAAAACAAAACAGCAACAAAACAACCAACCAATCAAGCAAACAAAAAACCCACGACAACAACAACAACAACAAAACTACTGGAAGTCTTTGTAGCAATACACTTAGGATGAGATAATTATCTCCCAGAGCCTCCAGCTTCATATACCATCGCTTTGGGGGTTAGGGCTTCAATATATATATGAGTTGGGGTGGAAAGAGGAGCACAAACAGTCTGTTACAGAGGCCATCCGCGGTTTTGTTTCTAGGTAACTCTTCTAGGCGTATGAAATATCTTGGTGGGAGGTTTTCATGGACACCCAACTTTGTTTCTGTTCCTAACTCTAAGATGGCTGAATTGGGCAATAAGATCGATGTCGAGGTAGCACAAATGTGTGTTCAGAGTCCCTTGGAGTGAAGGCAATATTAATCTAGAAATAGCAAAGAACCCTTCAGCCTCACATGGTATTTTCAATTTAATGCAGATGATAGGAAAAAGAGGCATACACAGAAATTAAAAGAAAAACAAATTCAAAACAGATGTCAGGAAATACTTTGCTCCCCAGAGGAAGAAAAAAAAAAAAAACAGATGAGAAGAATATTTTAACAAGGCAGTTTACTGAGTTAAGAAACTGTGATCATCATTTAAAAATAGAGACCTGGTGCTGGGCTGGGGGTGAGGTAGGCAGACACTAAATTTGGAGTGAGAAACGTGACCTTCCATCGAGAAAAATAAGCCCAGTGTGAGTTAGTCCCATTTATCATGCTCCACTGCCCCCTGCCTTAGTCTCTCCTTGGGTGTTTGAAAAGGTGTGCTAAAGTTGTGTTTATGAGACAGGAAATACATGTTTTAGCAAGAAATAAATCTGTCCCTACAGACATAGATGGCTGTGTATTTCATTAAGTTGGGAGCCAGTTGTACCCCTTTTCACCTTTGTTTCCACTTTAGATGCCATCACATGGACAGACTTTTCCAGATGAAGGTCTCATAGCCAGTTTTCTGAATGACTTTAGGTCAGGTTTACAGACCAACATTTCCTGAGTGATTATGGCGAGTAAAGTCGCCATTCAGCCTCGTGTTTAATACTCTCTTTTATTTCAAGGGTGAGAGGAGAGTAGCATGGGTTGAGAAGTTGAGGAGAAGTTTTGGACCAAAACATTTTTAGTTTGTTTTAGAAATGCTTGTCCAAGAAGACCAAACATTTTAAAGCTTCTCAGACAACATATCACTGTAGTTTCTCCATCTCTGTCTTGTGAAGTCACCCTCAAGAATGACTCAAGAAATAAGGCTGCTGAATAATGATGCATGAATTAGATGCAACTTTAGAAATGGAAGGTTCTGGCAAATTCTGCGTGAATTTTTTTTTAATTGTAGTCCTCAATGTTAAAAATATTTACAATATGGTAGAAAATCAATGAAGTATGTGCAGTCTAGTATAGTGAGTCCTGACAAAATTTCATACAAAATGCTGTTTTTATTGACATATTCCCAATGCCTAGTACATAACTTGGGATGCAGTAAGTGCGTTGTAATTTGCATTGAAGGAATAAATATCCCATGCCCTCACTCGTTGTTCAAATTATTTCTTACTCTTTGTTTTTCATGCAGCATGCTGTTATTTGATACATCTCTCATCAGGTAAGTCCCCTTTTTGGAATCATTTCAGAGTAAGTCCCCTGCTCCCCCTGCCCCTGCCCCACAAAGAATTTGTTGTTGCTTCCTCTGAGCTCTCATAAGCCTCAGGGCAAGCTGCTATTATAGCAATTATAATATCCTATTGTGCTGATGCATCTGTTTGTCTCCCTTCTTCAAAAAAAAGCTACTCCGCCTTGAGATTAGGAGAACGTGTTATTGCATTGCTTGTCTTTAGTCTCTAGTACATTTTTAGCATCGAATTAATAGCCAATGAAAGTTTATTGAACTGAAATGATCTGAGAAATTGTCTTAGTTTGGGTTCATTTATAAAAGGAACCTGAGATAAAGTCTCGAGTGCCTATGGTTTATTTGGAAGATGATACCAAAAGTGAGGGCTTGAGAAAGTGATGTGAAAATGGTAAAAACTCAGTAAGGGGTGGATTGAGCTGGTATCACCTTGAGCAAGTGAAGTTCATTCCCTGTGAGAACCGCCTGAAAACCCGCATAGCATGTAACTCATAATTCCCCTCCACCTAAAGAGAGGCTGGGGCATTTCTCGATCCATCCCTCTACCCATCTATAGTAATGGTTGGCCTGGGAACAATCCCCATTATTGTCTGGCTACCCGGACTGCATGAGCTCCCAAGACTTTGGAGATAGCAAGAGACAAAAACGCTGATAGTCACACAGGACTGCCTGAGATCAAAGCTATCAGCTTTGATATCACTTGAGGACCTGCCTATCCCAGCTGCAGATAAAGACTGAGGTGGGCTGTGGGTGGGGTAAAATAGTATCTACTTAATCCCCAGGCAGTATTTATTGAACGATTTGACTGAGGAACGATTGACTGAGGAATGAATGAGAAGTCTTGTGAAGGTTGAGTGGATGGACAAATCATGTCTGATTAACAAACGTGCACATAGAGGGCTAGATTTCTTTCACTCCAGCTGATAGGTGACTTCTTTAGGGGTCATAGCATAAGAAAACGCAGACCTACCAAGCCAGTTTGCATCTGCATATGCATGCATCGAAGAAGTAGGGAGATCAACAGGTTATCTTTCTTGCTGCCTGGAGGAGTAAAGAGGGGCATACTTGCACGTCTTTGTATGTTTATGGGTGTGTGTCTGTTTAGTGTTCACATTTATAACCCTCAGACTTCTGGTGCCTCATGTTAAGCTGTAGAAGTAATTTTTAAAAACCTGTATTAGGCAACCTACAGAATGGGAGAACATTTTTGCCATGTACCTATCTGACAAAGGTCTAATATCCAGAATCTACAAGGAACTTGAACAAACTTACAAGAAAAAAAAAAAAAACAACCCCATCAAAATGTGGGCAAGGGGTATGAACAGACGCTTCTCAAAAAAAGACATTTATGCGGCCAACAAACATAGGGAAAAAAGCTCAACATCACTGATCATTAGAGAAATGCAAATCAAAACCACAGTGAGATGCCATCTCATGCTAGTCAGAATGGTGATTATTAAAGATTCAAGAAACAATAGATGCTGATGAGGCTGTGGATTAGGAACGCTTTTACACTGTTTGTGGGAATGTAGTTCAACCATTGTGGAGGATAGTGTGGCAATTCCTCAAGGATCTAGAACCAGAAATACCATTTGACCCAGCCATCCCATTACTGGGCATACACCCAAAGGAATATAAATAATTCTACTATAAAGACAGATGCACACATATATGTTTATTGCAGCACTTATCACAATAGCAAAGACTTAGAACCAGCCCAAATACCCATCAATGATAGACTGGATAAAGAAAATGTGGTACATATACAGCCTGTACTACGCAGCCATAAAAAGAAATGAGATCATGTCATTTGCAGGGACATGGATGAAGCTGGAAGCCGTCATCCTTAGCAAGCGAACACAGGAACAGAAAACCAAACACCACATGTTCTCGCTGATAAGTGGGAGTCGAACAATGAGAACACATGGACACAGATAAGGGAACAACACATACCAGCGCCTTTGGGGTGGTAGGGGGTGAGGGGAGGGAAACTTGCTAATGGGTTAATAGGTGCAGTAGACCATCATGGCACAGTACAGCTATATAACAAACCTGCAAGTTCTGCATATATATCCCGGAACTTGGAAAAAAACAAAACAAAACTGTATTATGATTTGTCTAGTATCTTTGAAAACTCTTAAATATTCACCTACTCATGGTAACCATGTCTTTTCATAGACCAGAGAGCTCACATCAAAGGTGAGAAACATCCATGCAGAAATGAGAGTACTCACACTCAGTGGTAATGAGGCAAACAGTTTCTTTACCTTTAACTCCCATGTTACAAAGCAAACAAATCCTCTCATACAAGCCACAGTGAAGGAACTTGCTATAAAGGACAAGTGAAAATTATCCAGTTAATGGAGCAATCCAGAAGTTCTTGGCGTTCTCTTTGTGGCAAACTTTTATCAGATATTTGTAGAATATGTTTGCCGTCAAATTGTTTGCCTTTTATTTATTTATTTTTTTCTTGAGATGGAGTCTCCCTCTGTCACGCAGGCTGGAGTGCAATGGGGCCATCTCAGCTTACTGCAGCCTCGGCCTCCCGGGTTCAAGTGATTCTCCCACCTCAGCTTCCCAAGTAGGTGGGATTACCGCCCCAACACACCAGGCTAATTTTTTTTTTTTCTTTCTGAGATGGAGTCTTGCTCTGTTGCCCAGGCTGGAATGTGGTGGGGCCATCTTGGCTCACTGCAAGCTCCTCCTCCTGGGTTCCTGCCATTCTCCTGCCTCAGTCTCCCTAGTAGCTGGGACCACAGGCGCCCGCCACCATGCCCGGCTAGCTGTTTGTATTTTTAGTAGAGACAGGGTTTCACCGTGTTAGCCAGGATGGTCTTGATCTCCTGACCTCGTTATTTGCCAGCCTCGGCCTCCCAAAGTACTGGGATTATAGGGGTGAGCCACTGCGCCCAGCCAAATTGTGTTTGACTTTAGAGCGAGAGGAAACTTGGTATTTTATTTAGTAGAGAATTAACCTGATTTAGAATTTAAAGGTTAGGATTCCATAAAAGAAAGAGAATGATGTTTAAACAAAAGAGAGGGTTCCAAAGATTTGGAAAGTTGTCTAATTGGAGATATAAGGCTATATTTTAAAAATAACTGAGCTTTGTGTTTTCTGTAAGACATATTCAGACTAACAGTACATATTATCTGTCTTTACGTTGAATAGAAAACAAAATGTTCTATTTCTAAGTACGGATTCTAGAGCTATACCACGTGGTAGGGGCCCACCAATGCCCGTGGCATTGAGTGACTTTGGGATCACAGATGAATCAAGCGTAGTACTTGAGAAATAAGTGGAAAAGAAGACCCTAATGATGAATAGGTTGATTCAAGAAATAAGGAATAGCAAATGCTAGGAGATACTTTTGGAAATTCGTCTTTGAAGGTGTCTTCACAAGTTAGCTGAATTTCGACACCTTTATTGATAGGAAATATTCGTTCTGTCCAATCATATTTTGAGCAGTGACCTTGTCATGGATAAACCCAAGCTGTACAAATAATGATGTACCAGGTAACAAAGATTAAAGCTATTTAGAAAAGATAAGTTCTGTGGTATTAGAGCAGAATAGTCAATAATTTATTTCGTCTGAAACACACTCTGCATAGCTGCAGAAGCTAAGTAGCGTAAACCAGGGAGTTTGATATTTATCCCATTCTTAAGAGAATAAGACTATAAGAAGACTGGCTAGATTTTTGCAAAGACGCTTTGAGTTATTCATAGATACATGAAATCTAAATGTAAAGTGAAGTCATGGTTCATTCTCCACTGAAGGCTCAGAAGGCTCATCTCTCTCACCTTTCTTGTAATGAACTTAAATAAGCCTGGTGAAAAAAATGAATTATTATTTTAAGAAATCACATCCTCTCTGGATTGGAAGGAGCATCAGTATTCAAGTTTAATTACTCACATAAAGCTTAAGACTTGTCAGTAACATCCTTATCAATAGTCTGCAGGTATGTGCTTGAGTTTCAGCATTATTTCAGTATTATTCAGTGTTACAAGCATCCCAAACCTCCTACAGCAGTTTATTTTGTATGGAGGTAAATGATTTTTCTGATAGCTTACAATTCCTTGAGTGTTTCTCAGTATGTACTTAGATATTCTTAAAATGTAGTCTCAGGACATTCCAGAAATGATTTTAAAGCACAGACTATTAAATTCATCATTTTCTAAATTATTCAACTCTTAATGCAGCTGAATAACAAATTAGCTTTGGTTTGGCAGTCAGTTCCATTACACTGCTAATTTATAAAAAGCTTAATCTACCTATGACCCCAGAAGGCTCTTTTATGCCTGCTGCCATTGAGGCATGAATTGTCAATTGCCTCCTTATGGAGGAAGTATTGAAAAGGGAAGACTGTCTAATAATTTTGAATCCAGCGGGTAATTTTGCCACTTACATTTCAGTATGTTCTAGCATGTCAGACTCTACCTATGCCCTGCAAACACACCATTCCAACCACAAAGGCCTAGTGCACCAAGATTATATGGTTCATTCAGGCTGGAATACTCTGCAGGGCTATGCCCTTTCCCTGCTATGGTCACCTTTATGACCAGCTACTGTGCCTACATGTATCTAGAGCAGTGGTTCTCAGTCAAGGATGATTCTCCCCCGCAGGAGACATTTGGCAGCGTCTGAAAACATTTTTGGTTGTCATATCTGGAAGGGGGTGTTACTAGCACCTAGAGGATATTGTCCAGGGATACTACTAAGCATCCTGCATTGCACAGGGCAGCCCCTGTGACAAAGAATTCTGTAGCCCCAAATGATAATAATGCCAAAGTTAAAAATGCTAATGTCAGTCATTTATTATCATCGATAATAATTAAGTGCTTATACACATTCACAAGCACCTTCTGGAATTCCAGAAGTGCCTTCCTGTGTGCACCCCTGGACATAAAGTATTGGATTTAGCTCTTGTCCTCAAGATAGTTATCTTCTAAAACAACCCCTCCTAATCAGTGGGGTGTACAATGTGCTGAGAAACAGTACAACAATCAATACAAGCATGTTTTCTATGGTTTCTCATGGACACATTTAGCAAGAACAGCTGTGGTGATTTCTCCTGAGAGATTAGATATCGTAAGTTCCTTAAGTTAGATTTGCACTGCAACACGCAGAAACAAAACCATGTGAACCTTTCTGTGAATCATGAGTGCTGGTTTCTATACTATGAAATATAGGTATAAGAATTTATGTTTATCTGATTGATGTAAGGTGTAACCCTATTAGTAGGTAACACTGATTATAATTCCAGAAAGATAAAGCTTTGTACAAGGCTCTTTTACATCCTTTTAAATATATATACACACACACACATACACACACACACACACACATATATATATATATAAATTTGCCAATGCAATCTCAAATTTCAGAATGTATGGCTTCTCTCTCAGCTTCAGTGAGGCTTAAGCCCCTGTAGAAATGTATGTTTCTAAAGGAAACATTAATTAATTGTTCAGTGTAGTAATAAAGTGCCCTGATGGATTTGCAAAGTACTTGATGGAGTCTGCTTTTTCTATGTGATAACCATTTTTATTGCAACGTTCCTTCCTTCAAATTTTAAATTTTGAGACATCTAGGAGGTAGCATCCATAGCACTTGGTGACTGAATAAAAAGGAGCGCTACAAGGATAGGGAATGACGGAAGATTCTTCAAGGTCTCACTTGAGCAATGGCTTTCACGGAAGAGACATTCGCCGGGTATTGAGGGGAAGAGCAAGAGTTCAGATATGGACATATTCAGCTTAAGACACCTGTATGACTTATAAGTGAGAAGTTCCAGTTATATAGTTGGACCCAGAGCTCAAGAGAGATGTTAGAGTGGAAATGTAGCTCAGGGACTTTGTATGAGAAGTCATGGAATTAAACCAGAACATCTGTTGGAAATATACAAATTAAGGAAGTGAAGTCAGCAAAGGAGACAGAAGAGATTGGTGGAATTCCAGAAAGGTGCAGAGAAATGGAAACAAAAGAGCAGAGGGTCTCAAGGAGCAAATCATCAACTGTTGTATGCAACAGGGTGGCCAATGAGACTGTAAACTGCTGCATGTCCATAGGAGAGGTTATACACATTCACAATTAGTAATAAAAAAAATACATTCCACAGCAGCGTCTGAGCTATGCATAGGCTGAACTTGAGCACAGCAAAGAGAGACTGGGTAACTGTGCAGTGAGAGTGCGGTATTAAAGCTGGGAGTCAACCAGCCTCACTGTTG